TTTTTGAGAAAATGTACAGTGTGTCATCCCGAAAGAAGCGGGGTCCGGCGTCCTAGCAACGACCGGGCCTTCCCGTGGCCGACCCCACATGAGTTGCGGCGCGTATACGGGAAGTCCCGCGGCCGATAGCTGGTCGAGGTACTGGTGGTTTAATATACGATAATTTGTCCAAGAAGCTTCCAAAAGTCACCGTGCAGAGGAACTTCCCCCTGCCCGTAACCCCTGTTCCATGCTGCCACTGCCAAGGAAAACCACCCCGGCCCCAACCTGGAACAGACCCCCTCCTTCCCCCCCATCCGCAAAGGCATCCAATTCCCTCCTAGAGGATACCTTCGCCCTCCCCTTGTCCCTATCTGCCTCCGCCAGGTTGAAGGCGACCAACTACCCCGGCCCCAAACAAGGACAAACCACAAATTTGCCCCACCCCCGACAGGGCAGCCACCTCCCACCTTGCAGCGCCCCTGTAAAGTAAGGCTCCCCGATACCAACCCCCACCCTTCCCCCAAAAACCTGAACCGTGACCACAGAAGCCCTATCTCGACTGAAGCACACCCATCAGATCAAGCGGCCAATTGACCTGGAGAAAAATCTCATGAGGACAGTGTATAGTTGAGTAAGATTTTATGATGGATATCCCAGGATGGAAACACTCAAGAGAGTGGACGTGAAAAAAGGAAAATCCTGATGAAAGTGCCGGAAAAGAAAATACTACTAATTGCTGACGAGAACAGTACCCTAGGACAAAGGGTTATCCAGAGAGTATTGGCGAGCGAACTCACCTGCAGATGACTCGGATATCGATAATGACCTCCTAGTGAGAGATTGGATTAATGATGATTTTTATAAGGATGATAGTAATGATGATGATAATGATATCGATGATACTGCCACAGATGGTAGTAATGACGATGATGGTGTTGATGACTTGTGATTGGATGGGTGACCGAGAACAGTACCCTAAGACTGGAGATTTTAAGGATGATATAAGCGAGGAGGCTCGCCTGCGGATGATATCAGTGACATCCCACTAATGAGGATTGCAGGTAAGGGAAATTTTTTATGAGGCTGATGGTGATGAGAATGTCAATGATGATGATGGTGATGCTACAGATGGTGATAATGACGAGCAACACTGCGATGATGACGCTGGTAATGACAAAAGTCCACACAGAGATGTAATGATGATTAGAATGACGATCAATTACCAATACTTGGATTACAAGCACAACTACAACCTCCTGAAAATAACGACATGTGCTTTGATAGTGACCTAATGGTGATGAAAAACGACTCATCACACCCTTTCCTCAAGTGATGATAACAGATAATATCCTGATGATCACGACTAATGTCACGATGATGCTAACAAACCTTGATGATGATGACGAGCATCAGCTTGATAACGAAACGCGCCCCTGATAGCCTCGTTTTGATGGCGATAATTGTGCCTTGATTGTCCTTGATGGCACGTCCAAGTTGTGCCCCTGAAGACAGACAACACCCTAATGTCAAACAGTACCCCTGATAGGAAGCAGTGG